GGTACAACTTGAGGCTGTTTCCTCTTGAAGATTTTGAAAACTTGGCTTGAAAGAGTCATGACTGAGCTGACCTGTACTGGCAGCGATCATCCTTCTTGGAGCAGGAGGTGGGTCTGGAGACCTCAGGAGGCTTTTTTCACCAGAAACTCTGATTCTGGGGCCTGTGGCATCTGCCTTGGAGACAGCAGATTGCCATGGAGTGGACTACCCTGCCAGGTAGACCTTCCCAGGAGCACTATTGCTCCTGATCTCAGGAACTCTCATGTGTGAGAAGCTTTAACTCAGGTCTGCGTTCCTAGTGGCTGTGGTGGTCGTTAAGTTGGCTGCTCACCATGTGCTTTCATTTTGTCTTCTGAAGCCAGTGAGGGCTCTAAAAGCTTGTTTTGTAGTAGTTGCATGTTAAATGTGGCACTGGTGTGTAATTGGCCACAGCACTGGGCTGCAGTGGCAGAGATTCTATTGTGTTTTTTTGTGGTCAGACACATTTGGATCGGGACCCTTGGGGACATTTTGTTAAAGTCTTTAAGGATCCCATATGGCATTGTATTATTCTCTCAGCAGATTGGCTTCATCCATTGTAGAGCAGAGGCTTTTCATAAACAAAGCTTCATAACAATAGCACTTTTGAGGAAATGAGCCTGGAGATTTTAGGACTTCACAAGGGTTTTGGTGTGTGATCCTAACAGTAGATTGGAAGAGACCACCTAGCTCAGTGAGGAGTCCCCACTGCTAGGATTAATGGGACCAAAAGATTTCTCCTCCTTTTATCTGAAGTGTTTAGATTCCTCCTGCTGTTCCACTTAGTGAGTGGTTGGGAATATTTTGTTTGTTTGTTTTGGAATTTTCAGCGTGTTTTATTAGGTCTGCTTTTATATCTGTGGTTTTTTCTTTTGCTCTACCAGAGGACACCCTTGAGGTATTCAGAAATTTCAGACCTATTCTTTCTGGCTTATTTGGCCTAATAAATTAAACCCAGATAATTTTTTAATCTATGCTTATAAGAAGTTCTCTTTTCCTCTGATCGTTGTCGTACTTTTCTTCTGACCTATTTTTTGGTTGTAGATATCCAAACTGTGTGTAGTATCTGAGATGAGGATATTTATTTCTGGACAGAGGCAACAATAATTCTCTCTTCTGAAAATATTCAGAAGTACCCTTGGTTTGCCTCTACTTTTCACTGCAGCCTTGAAATGATATAATTTTTTGAGAACCTCCTTCAGGTTCTTTCTCATTTGCTACCCACTGACACTTCAGGTTTAGATGGGGGAGGAAATTTTTTCCTAATATCCTGAAAGAGCTGTCAAGCCTTGGAACAGGCTGCCCAGGGAAGTGATGGAGTCCTAATCCCTGAAGACATGTAGACATGGCTCAAGATTTCGAGCACACAACACTGGAATCTGGTTTGCAGATCCTGGACAGGGCCTTTTACATCCTCACTCTAATGGGTAGGGGAGGAAGATTTCCTTAAGCTTTGGGATGCATTGATTTCTCTGGCTTTCTTCACCTTCTCTAATACTGCAGCAGCTCTTGTAAAAATATGTTCCTTAAATTATACAAAAAGGACTGATTTGTTTGGGTACCTCACTAGAAGGAGGACATTAAGGAGCTCAACTGTGTCCAGAGAAGAACAGTGAAGGTGGGGAAGGGTCTAGAGCCCAAGTGTGGGGAGGAGCAGCTGAGGGAGCTGGGGGTGCTGAGCCTGGAGCAAAGGAGGCTCAGGGGAGACCTTCTGGCTCTGCACAGCTCCTGACAGGAGCCTGGAGCCAGGGGGGGGTCGGGCTCTGCTCCCAAGGAACAAGTGAATAGAACAAGGGAGAATGGCCTCAGGTTGTGCAGGGAAGGTTTAGGTTGTTCAACAGGAACAATTTCTTCATGGAAAGTGTTGTGGAGGCCTGTGTCAGGCTGCCCAGGGCAGTGGTGGAGTCTCCACCCCTGGAGGGGGTTCCAGGCTGTGGAGATGTGGGGTGAGGGACACGGGGCAGTGGGAACCTGGCAGTGCTGGGGGAATGGTTGGACTGCATGATCTCAACCTTTTCCAACCACAGCCATTCTCTAGTTCTGTTTCCACTGAGTCCTGCCTCAGGCTGACCTGTGTTCTCACTTCAACCCTAACCCTTCCACTTCTAAAGACCACCATTTTCTGTTGAGCAGACCTACTTTCTGTCCCTTGTAGATGTTTTCCTTGGTCTCTTATACATGTTTTGCAGTGGTGGTTCAGTTGTGTACATCATTCTACTCAAGCAAGTAGATTAACATCTTTGTTAATATCAAAAGTTTCTTTTATTTTGATGTTTTTTATCTCAGTACCATTCTGTGTAGGATGCCAATTTGTTAATGGAAAGCAGGCTTTCCTTCCCCTTGGTTGTTTTGTCTTGCAGCAAATTACTGTGAAAAATTACAATGGCTGTTGCCTTTACTTCTTAAAAGAAGGGAAATACTGAACACTTCAGCGACTGGGTGATTCATCTGAACCTGGTTTCTAGGTGCAGAGTGCCATTCATAGTGGTGTGACTTGGCCAGAGCAGCAGGGTGTGAGCCAGAACCCAGCTCCTGAGAGGCACAGAGGGCTCCCTTCTCTCCTGGGAAGGAACAGAGCATTGCTGAAATTTCTAGAGGTGGCTGCTGCAATCTTGCCTCTTGTAGAGGACAATAGTACTTAAAGGAGATGGATTAATTCAGTTCCTGTCGTGCAGCACTTGGACTATAAATGAAAAGAATTTTTATCATTGAAACACACAATGACTGAGAGATGGATGTGAATGAGCCAGCACTGTGCCCTCGTGGCCAAGAGGGCCAGTGATTTCCTGGGGTGTATTAAGAAGAGTGTGGCCAGCAGGTTGAGAGAGGTTCTCCTCCCCCTCTACTCTGCCCTAGGGAGGGCACCTTGGGATGCTCACCAAGAGCTCAAGGGCCCCGGGGGGCAAGAGGCTGGGGCCAGACTCTGCTCAGTGGTGCCCAGCCCCAGGCCAAGGGGCAACGGGCACCAACTGGAACCCAGGAGGTGCCACCTGAGCAGGAGGAGAAACTTCTTTGGGGTGAGGGTGTTGGAGCCTGGAGCAGCTGCCCAGAGAGGCTGTGGAGTCTCCTGCTCTGGAGAGATCCCAAACCCTCCTGGCTGTGACCCTGGGCACCCTGCTGGGGGTGAGCTGCTGGAGCAGGGGTGGGATGAGATGATCTCCAGAGGTCCCTTCCATCCCCACCATGCTGGGATTGTGTGAATGGTACTGATCCTGTGGGGGGTCATTTGTTTTTTTTTCCCCAGCTATGAAGATGGGGTAAAACTAAACCCTTTCAGTAAAGTTACTTCTCAAAGGAGTTCCAGTATAGTCAAAGAGAAGCTTACAAAATGTCATCTGGGGAAACCTCTTCCATATTTTCAATGCTTGCAGCTATACCAGTGGTGTGAAATATTTAATGTCTAGTGAAAATGCATATATTTTATTTAAGCTGAACAAATATCACTTACACATAGGTCTGGTTTGTTCCAGGTTTTCTCTTCGTGGCAAAACCAGACAAGCTCAGGATTATCTTTAAGGGTTGTCCAGGAAGAGTTCCTCTCTGTGGAACAAAAGAGGCTGTAAGTTCATGCCACCTACTCCAATCATACATTGACTGCCTGCTACAAGCAGAAAAATGCTGTCACTCATTGAAGGGTCTGGGAATGCCTCAAAAAGGAATTGTTGCAGTCTGAGTGCAACGTTTTGCTTCTTTTTTGTACTAGTTACTGCATAGCCATCTGTTTTAAAGAAGGTAAATTTCTAGGGTTCCCCTTTTAACTCACTGATTAATTAATTTGCTTGTTTTAGGCATTCCAGTATTCAGAAGCTATTTAATGCCTTGTCTTTCCCTTCTGGGGAAAGGTGCAGGGAACTGAAAATATCTGCTGCTCTTCCAGAATTAGAGAGGTGAGAAATAACTTTTGTTTTCAAGGGGTCAGTTTTGTTGGAAATCATACAAAAACCATTTTGGGGTGTGTAATATTCATCTAAAAACTCCTTGTTTAATAACTCTGTCTTTGCACTAGCTATTTTTTTTTTTTCTGGGATGAATTATTTCCTCTCTGGGAAGCCTTTGTATGCTCTTTTAACAAGCTTATTTCAGTCACGTCTCAACTATTTATATGAATGAAATCTTTTGGTCTTGATTTGAAGAAAACAAAACTGGTCTTTTTGAAAGGTTTGTGCAACATTTTACTGTGAGCAGTGTCAGTCAGGAGCCAGTGATGAGAGCACATCTTCCTCTGCTGTTGCAACAGTCAGAAGTCATTCCTGATAGCAAAACAGAAGCTGATAAGGTAAGGAACCAACCCAGCAATGTTTCCTAGTATGGAATTCTCAGCAAATATTCTGTCTGTCAAAGAGTTTTGCTGCTGGTAAAAGTACTTCAACCTTCCCCAGTGCCACCAGTTCACAGTGAACCTGCTTCAAGTCTGTTTCTTGGAATAAATTGCTCTGCTTTCTTTTCCTGATTACATAACTTAAAGTTTTTCTTCATTTAAATAATCTTTTAGAAATGTTAATGGCCCTTCAGCTGATAAAATAAAGGCAGAAAATGAGGCATAGATCTTCAAGTGAACAGTTTCCTCTAATGTCCAGGGAGTTAGCCCTAAAGCAGGAGCTTGTTTTTTATGAATTGCTGAATAATTTAACTGAATTGTTCTCTGGAACATAAAAGTCCTTTAAATAGCAGAGAGAGGTAGCACAAGATATTTAACATTTGCTGATATTATCTGTAGAACACTTAGTTCCCTATAGGGGCAATAACAATTGTCAAACCTAAGGAGTGCTTTAAATAGAATTTTCAGAGACAATATTTCCTTGTAACTTTCCAGCACTCTCATTTAACTCTTGTTGTATTTTTTAATGTTTTTTATGTTCATCTAAAATTCTGTAAAACATGCAAACTTGGTACCTCCTATTTTTTCTGAATGCCTTCTCTATATTTATTACAAATACTTATTTTCTGTGAGCCTCCAAAAGTGATGTTGAGGGTAAGACACCAGTAGGCTGGAGGTGGCTGTCATCAGTACTGGGGCCAGTTCTGTTTGTCAGTGATCTGGATGAGGGAATTGAGGACACCCTCAGTGAGTTTGCAGATGACACCCAATTAGGTGGCTGTGTTGATTGGCCTGATGGCAGGAGGGGTCTGGCCAGGCTGGGTCGATGGGCTGAGGGTGATGGGATGAGGTTCAGCAAGGCCAAGTGTCAAGTCTTGCACTTGGGTCACAAGAGCCCCCTGCAACACTCCAGGTTTGGGGCAGAGGGGCTGGAAACTGCCTGGCAGGAGAGGACCTGGGGATGTTGGTCAAC